CCTCACCTTCGTTAGCTGCATCTCCTCCTACACCTGACACTAAGCTGGAGGAAAAATAACCTCCTCCCTCAGTCCCTTCCCAATCCATACATCTTCTGCTGCTTGGAAACTATTCTTGCCTCAGGCCATGCAAATCACAAGATTATCTGGGACTGCATTCCTCAGGTCTGACCAGGAAGAGGTGGGGATAGCTCAACCCCCATCATGGAAAAGCATCACAAATCCAAATCCCTCCCTCCCAGTTTAGAAATCTATCCCAGTTTTCCCTGGGAAATTCCTGGGTAATGCCAGTTGTTCAGTTCCAGAGTTAGTGGCCTAGCAAGATGGACGAGAACAGTTTGCACTCCTCTAAGAAACACAATTTTCAATAATTTGCAGGCTCCGGAAAAGAAGCAACATTTGAGAACAGGTTTAGAAGGTGTCTTTCACTACCCAAGGGTCTGGAAACTTGCTTTGTATATTTAGTTGAAAACTGAAGTGCTGCAGAAATTGATGGGTCAGCCACAGACGGCCTGGACCCATGTCCTACCATGTGCTTGCTTTACCCTGCCTGGTGCCAAGAAGAGACAAGGAAGAAAAAGAAGCGTAGAAGAACGTTAACAAAAAAAAAGCCATTTTATTGAAAATGAAATTAAAACTTCAAATTAATATTACAATCATGAGAAAATGCCAAACAATTCAATTTACAGTTGCAACATACAATACAAATAGTCCCTTTGAAGTTGAAGTAAACTGATCCACAATCATCGTCTGTGGCATAAAGCAGAGTGTTTGTACAGTATGTGCATGAAAAGCAAATCTTGGGTGACAGCATTTGAAAAAATAAAAAAATTAAAGCTTGTATTTACACAAAATGCTACAAATATTTTGTTCCAGCGGAAATTCAAGATTGGTAAAGCATATTTAACAACAAAAAAAATTGGAATGTCACTCATATTACCTAAAGTTACTGTAAAAGTATGGTTTTGGCTGATATACTTAAAAGTACTGCATTAAAAAAAAGCAAATAGTTATCTGTAAACATGGAAGTAAACAAACATCTAAAAAAAGTTCTCAGAAAATGTTAAACTGAAATGCATTCTATTTAAAAACAACAAGAAATTCAGGGGGGCAGAGAATGGGACTTCTTTGAGCTCATGGCTGATCCAGGTTTAATTATTGCTTTTGCTCATGGCTTGCTGCTGCTGCTGCAGCCCAGCGTGGGACTGAGCCTTGCTTTGCTTAGGGTGAAAGTGCAAAAATTCTCCCCACTCCTGATGGTACCTGTGGAAACTGGTAAGTCTTTGCTCAGGGGACTGCTGGCAACAAAGGTTCAATGCTAAGAAAGACACAGCAGCTGGGCTTTTAAAGGAAATTATAAATGTCACGTGAATGATGCTGTTGGATAAATAATTTCCTTTACTTTTCTGTCCCAACCCACTGCACCCAATCTGGTTACCCTTAGAAGGAGGGAGAGGAGGATTTAATCCTTCGTTCAGCAAAAGGGACATTGTGCCTGTTGTGCTGTAAGAAAGTCTTTGGTAGGATATGAAGCTGGAAGGTAAAAAAAAGGCAATTTTTTTTTATTTAAGTCTATGACCGGTGCCGAAGATTGCCACTGCCCGAAGGGAAGGGCTGTCGTACCTTTGAGAAAACTCTGTTCTGCGATGCCAAGCACCTCACAAAAGCTCAGATAAATTGACATGATTCACTACATAGCACCGATTGGGTCTGAAAATCTGATTCAAGAGCATTTCCAAGTGAACTTGAAAGCATTTTCTGAAAGCTCTGATGAGCATCTCTGCCTCAGCCTGTATGACTCTCTCCATGACCAGCCTGATGTACTGGGACATATTTTCTAAAGGCACCAGGAGGGTTCAGGAGCTTGGGGATCTACTGAAAGTCAAGGGGCTGGTGCTCCTCTGTCCACAGGTACTTAGAAAATCCTTTCCTTCCTATCTCAAGCAGGCAGAGCCAGGTCAGACTAGGGCACTGATCTACTTGATCAGGCATGCGTGCCTTGACTGGGTGGAGAAAACATTTTCAACGTTTGTCCCTAAAGGTCCAGTTGAAAAACCGCGGGGACACAAACAGAGTCCTGTTGGTATTGGGCAAAACAAAAGTCTGGTCTGTGCTGGATTTATCCAGAAACAAAAACCAAGTGCTTGAATTTTACAACAAAGTCTTAAGGAAAAAAAAAAAGAAAATCTGGGTTGCTGCCTGCAGCCACTCTTAACAACATTTCGACACAAAAGCACCCTAAAAATTACTTAATATGCATACAGTAAACCTTAAAAAGCCCTTCTCAGCAATAACAAATAATGTACAAATATAGTACCTTTTATTAAATAGGAAACAGCTTGCACTGGCAGTACATCTCTTTTTCTCTTGCTTACTAAACAAAAAACAAAACTGAAATGTGTAACCAGACACTGGTTTTTTAAGTGCTGCTGAGACTAACAAACGTTACTTTACAGTTACAAATAAATGGACAGTGGTATGCTTCAAGCTACCACAAACCAACAATAAATAGAATCAATTACAGCTTCCATCTTTGAAGGAAAACTAAGTATTAGAAGAAAAACAAAGTGTCTTACTTATACGTTAAGCATACTTGGTATACAACCTTTAGAAGGCAAAGACTTTATTAATTTATTATTTTTAAGAGCACGTCATCACGCAGATTGGAGGGCTGTACCATGCTAAGGGCAGCTCGTTAACAGCTTCGCTGCTAATGAGCAGTGGTGTCCGGCTCTGTGTGGCTGTGCCCAGCGTTGATTTGCTGCCGTACTTTGGAGGTAGCCAAAGATCACCCAAGGAGCAGCTTGGAGGGGGCTGCGGGCAGTGGTGACTGAGGCAGTGGAAGGAGGGAGCTTTGGCCAAGCCCACTGGCACGTGCTGAACATCCCACTAAGCCAGGCTTAACACCTGCCTGGGGAGAGCGTGGGGAGGATGACTCAGCTCCCACCACGACCAGCCAGTGCCATGTCACCTCCCTGCATGCCATGGCAGCCCTGGGCTGGGCAAAACTGGGGCTTCTCTGCGGGGTAGTTTGGCCACAGACAGATTGGGGTTTGGGTGCTGCTGGTGCTACCCCTGGGAGCCCCAGGGTGGCTTTGAAGGTGAGCTTGTGTCTCCTGTGTGGGCAGAGGTGAGTATTGCTGCCCTTGTGCTCGTCCCTCTAACACGGCAACAGCCACATCAGCTTCGGAGCCACCACAGCATCTGCACGGCTCCCGCATTTAATGCTAACGGGTGGTGACTCGCTACCAGGCAGTTTCTGTCTCAAGCTTGAAAACTTTTAATTCCACCGAGTGGGCTGAAATTGCAAGGGGAGGGGAAAATGTTTCACCATTTCTCCCTTTATCCCACTTCTGAGATATTCAACAATTCATCATTTGCAAAATATGGGCTTTGAAACAGTTTTGATTTTTCTTTGGGAAAAAAAAAAAACCTGTCGAAATCCAAATTATGCTGTCAAAATAGACCATTTTAAATATGAATATTTTCAAATTTTGAAGTTCTGAGAAAAAATCCTTGGAGAAGAAGAAATTAGGGGAAGGGTGGAAAATATTTCATCCTTCCTACCATTTTTCCAGTGTCTCCACAACTACTGATTAAAAGGCAAGACTGTGTTGAAGGCAACCAGACAGCTAATAAAAATATTTTAAACACAATATTTCCTTCATAAGTTATATAAAAAGATCCTACATCCCAAATCATTTGATGTGGATGCATTTAGGTTGGGTTTGTTGTTTTTAAGTCACATTGTAAACTGGTTCACACTGGAACTGCTTTTCAGAGTTGGGTAAAGGTCTGAGGTTTACACTATTGCAGAAATGTAATAAAAAAAAAAAACCTAAACAAAACAAAAAACACTTTTAGAGACCGAAGTCAATATATCATTACATTAAGAAACGTTTAAAGGGTCCAAATGTCATTAAATAATTATAAATATTCTTTTAAACTTAAATGATGATTCATGTTAGCAAACAACCTCAAATTTTACACATTTATAATTTAAAAAAAAAATAAAAAAAGAACATAGCCAAACACAAATACTATGTATACCATTTTGGCTCTAGTAATATATATTGCCATTCTCATATTTTGCATAAGTAATAACATTTTGTTTTTTGTTTTTCAAGGTTTTGGTTATTATTTTTGGTTTTTGGCTAATCGAAGGCAAAACGAACGGATACAAAAGCAAAAAGGAAACCCCGGGGTTGGCTCACCTAACTTGAAAACTCATTCTCTTTAAGTACCCAAAAACAAACCAAGAAAGCAATGAACACAGAAATTCCAACCGTTATGCGCAGCAAGGCTCAGACAGAGTTTTTTGGGACAGCTATTTTCGTCTGAATGGATCATAGCAAAACGGAAGCAACTTGCTCTTTGCTTTCCTTTTTATGTGCACCAATACAAACCAGGTGAATTGCACTACAGGTGTGGAGAGGGTCCCATACATTGTATGATTGCAACTGTATCTGGAGTTCATGGCTAGTTTTGGCTTTCTATTAAAATAAAAGAGAATGCAGCCTTTGCCTTGCATCACCATGTTTCTCCTGATAGCCGGGGAGTCCGTTCTCTCCTTGTTGGCAAAAGTACTCACTAGTTATTACAAAACTCTAGGGGAAAAAAATAGAAGGAAAAATACAAAAAAAAAAAAAAAAAAAAAAAAAAAAAAAAAAAAGGAGGGGGTGATTTTTTTTGTGTCTGTGTGTGTAGGAAGTACATTTTAAATATAAAACAAGGTAAAATGCTTCCAAGGGGAAAAAAGAAAAAGAAAATATGTGCTTTGATTCACATAATCTGAAACATGGGTTGTGGTATGTTGGTAACTCTTGTGTTATTTATGGCCATTATCATCCCATCTACACAGTTGCACATATTGGTAAAATCTGGTTTTTTTTAAAAAAAAAGAAACAAAAAACAGGCACTTCGTAGTTAGTCGACCGTTTGGTGGTTTGGTGAATTTTTTTTTTTGGCTTGCGGAGGTCGGGCCGGCTACGGAAGAAATCTCAGTACGGCCTCCAAACGGACTCATCCATCCTGCCACTAGAATTCAAGACGGTTGGGGAGCTGCTGTGGCTGCCATCCGCCTCCACCCCGTCACTCTGGGTGGGCAAGTTAGGGTTTAGCAGTGTGCTGCCGTTGGACGTGGTGGTGCATGGCGGGAGCATCCTGGAAGGGGAGCGGTCCCCTCCCGGCACCATGGGGAACTGGTATGATCCTGACGAAGTGCCATAGTAGAGATATGGAGTGCTGCTGGTCTGGAAAGGTCCACTTTGGTTTTGGGAAGAGCCGGGGTAGGGTGGTGGTAGGTAGGTGTGGTAGTGAGTGGTTGCGGACATACCCAGTGACATGCCTGAGGTGACTGGCGGTGTATAGGTAAAGGTGGCTGGATAGTGCATTCGTGGGTTGGAGAAGCGGCTCTCAGTGAGGGATGAAATGCTTGTGAACTGCCTGGGATCTGAAAATGGGCCCAGCTCTGAAGCACCTAAAAAATTATAACAAAAGATGGGGGAAAACAATTCTGTAAATACCATTTTTTGTATCACGTGATGATAGAATTTTATTTTTCTAAGATAACCCACTTCTTTTGGCCCCCAAGAGAACAGCAGATCATATCAAGCAACACATTGCAAGGAACAGTCACACATCTGTCTTCTGGAAGCGCTGGGCCAAACTCATCCCTGGTCTAACTCCACTGATGCCAATGGAGGGAGCAGCATTGCCAACCTGAAGTGCTCAAAGGTCATGAGTCAGGTTGAAGGGAAAAAAAAATCTCAAAAATCAAGAGATTGGAAAAGAGTCAAAAAATAAAGGGGACAAAAATTTGATAAAATGTAGAGATTAAAAAAGAGCCAAAAAACAAAGGTGGACTTGGAGTTGATTTGCCTTCTGGTTTCAGAGTTTTGAGGGTCATGTGTCTCTGTTTTTTTGCTCGAGCCTCTTGAGAAACTCAGGTCTGGTTGCACACGATAGCTGAGATTCCCACCTCAGCACAGGCTGTCAGGAGCTGGGGTTTCCAGAAAAGTAGAAATCACTTTGCAACTTGTAGTAAAGCTACAAGAGCTGGCAACACCAAGTTAACTGCACCACTGACACCAGGAGAGTTACACTGGGGGTGACTAAGACCCACTTCTTGCCTTAAAACAATTTATTTAGGTGAGAATCCACTCAGCTGCTTCCTTTGGCCAAAAAACAGTTTGCTGCATCTGAAGGACGGACAAGGCCATTAAGCTGATAGAAAAAATGCAGATTTTACTCTTCAGAGAAGTTGATGGAAAATTATAAGCCCAACACTCTTTTTGCCATTGAAAAAAAATTTGTTTTCGTATGTAGTCTCTGCAGTCTGGTTGAAAAAAAAAAGACCACACAGTTTATGACTACTGTGAACGTCTGGATGGTAACGCTGTGAATTGGAGTCTAACGCAAAACAGGGATGGGTAAACTCATTTTGGCTAATTTCTAATCCCACATCAAACACCCAAAGCTTTGGAGCAGAACTGGAAAGCAAACGTTAGCTTGGTGATGTGCTTAGGAGATTGTGGGATGGACAGGAGCAGAAGACAAAGATGGTGAAAGCTCGTACTGAGAGCCAGAAGAGTGGAAAACAAAGAGAGTGTGGGAAAAGGACAGAGGGAAAGAGGGAAAGCCTAATGAGGAAGCACAGAGCAGGAGGAGGCAAATGCAATGGCCAGTATGCAGCAGACACATACATTTATAGAGAGCTGAAAAGAGCAGGGGGTAAATAAAGGGGGGAAATTATGAAATCAAATGGACCCTTCCTGCACTTCCTGCTGACACTCCTACAGCTTTGCAGCCCTGCAGATCCAAGGGTTCACTCACCTCTTTGTCAGTCTGCTGAACCTGACTTAACTAAAAGGAAAACATGGCATCTTCTAGAGTCAAACTGATGTGCTAAACAGTGAAATGTTCTATGTATCCTCAGTTTTAGATGAAGCAATGATTTTCCTTGTAGACAGGCTTCAGATCTGCCCTGCTGACATTGCTTTGTAACAGAAAGGTCTTTCCAGCCCTTCTGTTCCTGGTCCACTCTGCTGTAAGCAACAGACCCCACAGCCTCTGCCACCTTGTGTGGCACATTTTGGAATTTAGATCATTATTCTGGCCTGTCCTCCCAGCTCAGTGAACCCACGCCTACAATCATATCTAAAAGCAGCAGTGGGGCAAAGCTCAGGAGCAGTTTGGGTTCAGACTGGAGGAACTGGCTCACAGCCAGCCAAGCCTCCAAATCAGCCTGAAACCTGGGGATTATAATCGTCCATCTCTAACAATATTAAGCACAGAACTATAAGTGGGCAGTAAAAGCCCATTCCAAACTCTGATGACAATGTGATTACTATTATCTTTATCTGGGGCTGGATCAGTGACCTATGGGTGAATGGGTCTGTCTCCATCATCAACCCCTCCAACCACAGCTCCCTGGAATGTAATATAACTTGTACCTTTATAGCAAACACTCTACTACTTGATGCAACTTCTTTCGTTCCCAACTGCAAACAATAGCCAGAGGCAATACCACCCAGATTCAAAGCTGTAATTTTGGAACACTATCCTTTATATTGTGAACAGGTCTGATACGTATCTGGAAATATAAGGTTAGAACATAATTTCCCCAGCTGCTCAAAATACTGACTTTCAATCTGCTACTGCTTATTCTCTTTTTTTTTTTATTTATTTATTGTTATTGCATCTCTCCCAGCATGAACAGAGTTGCTCTTGGTTTACCCTGATAGAAGCTAAACAAGGTTTTTACAATCAAAGGTGGAATTGGTGCGAGTCTAAGGGTGTAGAAGAGCATTGGTATTTTTGGTTTCTCTGCAACCAATACTCTTTTTTTTCTTAATACAAAGGTCTCCACATAGTTTTACACATTAAAAGGCAATCTCCCTTTCAGAGCTAGATCCAAACATTATCTGCATGGTGCTGCCAAGAGATTATGTCTGTGTGGAATGACTGGGAATGTGCACACCACACGTAGGCATTTCAAATGTGAGGCTGCAGACCTCCTTATGTACCCTAGTAAATCCACACTTGTTGTTTTTACTGTTGCTTGTAAAGCACAATTGCATTTACCCAAAGGCCAAACAACCATAACCCTGACTAATCTCACTCATGGCTGTGTCTGCACAGCTCCTTGCATGCTCACTTCTCCAACTCCCCTTTTGCCCAAGTGCCTTTTGCTGTCTCCATAACTCCCTGCACAGGCCGCAATTTGTTCCCAGCCTTATTGTATCTCCATTATGTAAAATAATTTTTAAAGATCAGAAAAAGTTCTCTGTTCTAAAGTCTCATTTCTAAGGGAAACCTACTAAAAAGTCATCTCTAAATCTCAGCTTCTTGCCACCCTCACTGATGTTCAATCTTGCTGATGCATTTTCACTCTCCTCCTTTCTCTGTGCTACCTCCTTATGTTAAGGCTGATTTTGGTTTGAACTTGGAAACCCCAGACTCCTATTCATTTATACATGTTAAGCTCTTTGCTGGGCTGGGAAGAGAAGTAGTTCTACTGGGTATGGCACCCATCTTTGTATATCCAGCTGTGCACAAACAATGATGTGGATCAGCAATATGGTAACATGACAGTGCAAGTATATAATAACTATAATATTATAATAATTTATTTATTCCTCCCCCCAGGAGGATTAAAGTTCTATGCTAATTTTTCCTTTGTCAGATCAAGAAAACCATTTGCATCTGTGAATTCCCACTCTCGTGATAGCTTGCACTAAATGGGTGAAGCACAGACCCTCTGCTCTACATCGTGGGCACCACATTGCAAAACAACACTTGTATAAAGAGAACAGACTTTATTTTGTGCCACCAGAAAGAGGGACACATCAAAGAGCACAGCAATTGATCTTCTCCTTTACAGTCTCATCAGCTGACTGGGCTTAACAATAAAAAAAAAAAAGAAAAATATGTATTTTTGAAAATAAAAACCTAAACATTTTACATCTGAATGAGTCCAGGTTAAACAATTTTTAAATTTTCCAATCTGATTCCTTCCTAACATAGACTGGCACTCTAGTTTTCTGAGAGCTAAATGTTTAGAACAGAAAAGCTCATGTTAATATGCCAATATATATGCTAAGATCCCAGATTCAAGAATACTGCTCCAGTGTGTTTCATATTTAGAATAAGAACAATTAAAATTCCATGTGGCTTCACTTATTTTGATGCAAAAGCCTCATTAAAAACCCTAGACCTGGGCATTTGCCAGCAGCCAGCTCAAACTGTTTTGTGTTCGCGCTGAAAACCCAATTTTACCTGTTGCAGCTTTGCAGCTCCACCATTCACAGCTGCATGTTTGCCAAGGTCATTTCTCTCTTGCAGTTTAGAGATGCAAGCTAGTGCCAATTAATGCTCAGGTCTCAATTAATAAGCTGCACTTGTGGTTTGCAGAAAATCAGGCAACAAATTTCTGTCAGGTTTACAGCACTTTGGTCAATCATTCCCAATTATTAAAGATCATAATGTACTGCGGACAGATTAACTCCTTGTAGGTACAGCCAGCTGACATCTACTTTAAAGACTTACAGGATATATTTATAACTTAAAAATATTACAATTTGTTTTGTTCTTTAATGCTATAAATGGTCACTAAAAAGAAAAAAAAGTCCCCTTGAGTTATTACATATGTTTCATAGGGAAATTTCTAGCCCATCAAGTCAATGCAGAATCTTTCGATGCACGAAAACCAGAGTAATTCTGTATTCACTGAACAGTCTGTCTCCAGGAAATTCAGCAACATATAGTTAAATTTATTTACCAGTAGCTAAATTATTCCCTTGTGTTTCAGGGAACTTCAGTGTTAAGACATTTGCTGAAGTCGAAACTAGGTTTTGTGGGGTTTTGTTCAACAGTTCAATTCAGGCTGAGACATTGTACTAATTGACCTATTAAAATAGTTTTTTCCTTCCCAACATCTACGTCTCTGAATTATAAGCACAGCCTGGATTACTTACAGCTGATAATATCGCCTTGGATGAAACATGCCACACACTTCACATGATGAGACAATTTCAGTCTCTTACAGCTTTGCCAAACTTTAAATGTTCTGGCTGAAATTGTCCATGCTGGGCGTCTGTCTCAGGCTAAATTTTGATTTATGCATTTATTTGTTTTTAAAATTTCAGCTGAAACTCTTCTGCTGGGAAAAATACATTGTTTTACGAATCTTAAACTCTGAGGAGCCTTCCTTTGAAAAGCTGTACCAGTTCCATGCTTTGAAGTAAGGACTTGAACTTTGGAATAGGAGTGGCTTTTGTGTGAGAGATGTTGTCATGAAAATCCAGCCAAATATGAACAAATCATAAGCACTCTGACTAAAAATGGGCAGAAAAGTCTGTGCCCCTACAAAGACACTTGTCTGGAGACTGGAATGAAATCCAGGAGTCACAAGTCCTAGCATTTTTTCTGCAGACATTGCTGAAACACAGGGACATTGCCACCTGTTCCCATGCCAGC